CAACTTTGACAGCCTTTTTTGTTCATGTCCGGACGACGTTTAGGACATCCGCCGGATGTCCTCCCAGACAACCGGGGATGTGAAAAATCTGATGAAAATTTTGGTTTTAGTATTGGCGTGAACGGTTTCAAATCAAACTTAAAATTTGATGAAATTTTTGATTCAACGTTGGAGATGCTCTAAAAGCCAGCCATCCCAATAGCCTTATAATGTTTCTTATAAGCCCCATTTTATTTACTAACCAAAGTGTATTCTAAATAAGCCCAAATGCACCAAACCCTTTAATATAACCCTTGCAACAATCAACAAAGATGAATACAAAAGACGGAGATGACGAACGACGACGACGATGAGGTCCCGAGCCATGTCTCTCTCTCTCCCTCTCTCCTTCCTCCCGTGTCCTGGCCGTATTCAGTACCCATGTTGCTTAGGTTTAATTTATCTCCTGTTGCTTAGGTTTAATTTATCTCCTGTTGCTTAGGTTTAATTTATCTCCTGTTGCTTAGGTTTAATTTATCTCCTGTTGCTTAGGTTTAATTTATCTCCTGTTGCTTAGGTTTAATTTATCTCCTGTTGCTTAGGTTTAATTTATCTCCTGTTGCTTAGGTTTAATTTATCTCCTGTTGCTTAGGTTTAATTTATCTCCTGTTGCTTAGGTTTAATTTATCTCCTGTTGCTTAGGTTTAATTTATCTCCTGTTGCTTAGGTTTAATTTATCTCCTGTTGCTTAGGTTTAATTTATCTCCTGTTGCTTAGGTTTAATTTATCTCCTGTTGCTTAGGTTTAATTTATCTCCTGTTGCTTAGGTTTAATTTATCTCCTGTTGCTTAGGTTTAATTTATCTCCTGTTGCTTAGGTTTAATTTATCTCCTGTTGCTTAGGTTTAATTTATCTCCTGTTGCTTAGGTTTAATTTATCTCCTGTTGCTTAGGTTTAATTTATCTCCTGTTGCTTAGGTTTAATTTATCTCCTGTTGCTTAGGTTTAATTTATCTCCTGTTGCTTAGGTTTAATTTATCTCCTGTTGCTTAGGTTTAATTTATCTCCTGTTGCTTAGGTTTAATTTATCTCCTGTTGCTTAGGTTTAATTTATCTCCTGTTGCTTAGGTTTAATTTATCTCCTGTTGCTTAGGTTTAATTTATCTCCTGTTGCTTAGGTTTAATTTATCTCCTGTTGCTTAGGTTTAATTTATCTCCTGTTGCTTAGGTTTAATTTATCTCCTGTTGCTTAGGTTTAATTTATCTCCTGTTGCTTAGGTTTAATTTATCTCCTGTTGCTTAGGTTTAATTTATCTCCTGTTGCTTAGGTTTAATTTATCTCTGTCTGTCTCCGTCCATCTTTTGATGTTTGTCTTTGGCTTTTGTGGTTTGTGCAGAGTTTCAAAGATGGCATCTCTTTTGTCTTGCTTTTGGTTTTGTTTTATTGCTGTTGGCACCACTGGTCAGCAGTTGGGTTCCCTTCTATTATAGCAGTTCAATGGCTGTTGGAGTTTTTCTTGTCATTATTATCCTTCTTTTTCAGGTATTTGGATTTGATGGCCATTGTATAGTAGTCTTTTTTTAAAGAAAAAAAAAATCTGTTGCCTTTTATTTTGCTCTGTATTCACAAATGGTGCTACTTATTCTTCGTAAGGTTTCAATTTCAATCACATAACAAAAATCAAAGTTGTTGGCCTGTTTAGTTGTGCAGAAATCTTGAAATGTTTTCAACATGAAACCTTTGCAACCTTTGACAAAAATCTGGTTGTAGAAAATGCAGGCATTCACTGGTAATATTGGTGATATGATCCATAACAACCAAAAATCTTATAACCTGTGTGGATTTTATATTTTCATGGTCTCTCCAAAAGAGAAGAAATGATAAGAAATAAAAATAGGGCTTAGAGTTTTGTCCTTCTCTAGCTTTAGAATTAAATGATGAAGAGGATGGAAAAGTCTTCTTGTCTCTGTATTGCATAATAAGTGGCACTTCTTGAAGATACAATGATTAATAGTTGTTTAACATTGACCAATTAATGTTCCTGTAAAGAGTGATCTGATCTGGGTCCATGGTGCCAAAAAGAAGAGGAAGGTCAAGAAGAGTGGCATAGGATGGAATTATCAAAAAAAAAAAAAAAAAAAAAAAAAGGAAAAAAAGGGAAAAAAAAAAAATGAAAAAAGAAAAAAAGGAGTGACATAGGATGGGGCGGTGATAAATTACATGATTGCTTCTGACTTAATCAAGAATATGGATTGGAATAGAGTGGATAGGAGAGAACAAATTCATGTAACTGAAGCCAGTTAATTGGGGCTAAGTGATGTAGAACAACCGGAAAGGAAGAATAGTAATACCGAAGAAAGAGAATAAACCACACAGAAAACAAAACAAACCCTAAAATACTCAAATACAACTCTCAACTTTCAATACTTATTCAACGCTGAATAATCCTCCTACATAAAGGCCTAGTTACCCTTCTTATGAGAGGAAAACTTAGCATTATGACTTGTGTTAGATCCATTATTCTTCAATTGAGTTTTTATTGTTGGCTGAATTGTTGGTGATGGGGAATATATTTGATTCTTCTTATTAGTTTGATTTGGTGTAATGAATTTCCGGATTTGATTTTGATATTGATTAATATATTTAATTTTGCTTTTGAACTGTTTCCCTTTTCCCTTCTCTCTTCATACTCTTCTTACTTCTCTTCTCTTCCTCTTTCTCCTTTATCGTTCTTCTAGTGCTACAACTATTGGAGCATGGGTCTACAATCATTTTCTATGCAAGTGCTATAATTTTATAAAACATTTTACTTCCTAGTTTCATATGCTGCTTCTGAATTTATGGATGAAATATCTCATTAGACTGCTGCTGAAATTGGTTTAGGGGATGAAATTATTACCAACTGGGAGGAAAAATGTTTTCTACCTCACTCTATATGGATCGGTGGTAAGTGCTTTTCTGCTTTAGTATAGCATTGTTAGGATCTTTTTTTTGGTGTTTAATATCTTATGGAATTGACTTGTGTTTCATGTCAGCTTGGAGCTGGATCCTTCCTGTTACATCACTTTTCAATGTTGGTCAATTCAATTCTTGTCAGTTTTGGGCTGAGTGCAGAGTTGCACAACCCTATATGTCCTTCTAACATTATGTTTATAATCAAGACTTGTTTACCTAAAGTAATTGGCTTCATTTGGTCTGGAATGTACTGCATTTCAATTTTTTAGTGATGTAGTATGATAAATAGTCTAAATGTTTGTTAAATAGCTTATTAGTTGTAGTATATAAATAGGTGATGTAATACCCATTGTACTTTATTTTGGAATAAAGAATATATATTGTGATTGGAGTAGAGCTTAGTTTCTCTCTCTAGCCGTTGGGGGTTTTATCCCTAATTGGGCATTTGTCTTCTCTCTCTCAATTTGATCTTGATTTGGCATTTGGATTTCATTATTTGGTATCAGAGCATAAGATCTTGTACTCCATTGTTTCTAATTGTACATACAGCTCATCAATTAGAAAGGAGCAACATACCTGACTTTGGATCTAAACCCTAATTCTTGGGTGCAAACCCTAGATCATCTCACCAGAAGTTGCCATCACAAGTGTGATTGATTTGATTCGAAGCCATAAATTTGACATCGCAATTAAAAGTTGACCATAGATTTGGTAGTCACGACTTGCATTTGGACCTTTCACACTGGTAATTCAACATTGCAGCAAGATCTCGAAGCCTTTGTTCGAGTTCAAATCTTAGTTTAAAGCCCTTCATTTGTTTAAATATGTCACGAAACCGAGGAATAACCATCTCTCTGAAGTCGAAGTGGAAATTGCGATCTTACCAGATTGTTTCGTTGACTCCATTGGATGAAAGAGGGATTTTTTTTTGTTTAGTTGTTTTGGGTTGCATTTGGTTCGAAGTTCAAACCTAGAATCTCTTTGAAGTCGAAGTTGAAGACCTATCGCGATTTGAAGACCCATTGCAAACTTGAAATTGCTATTGTTCATCGTGATTTCAACCTAGCTCTTTAATTTGAGTTTGCATTCGCAGGAGTTCTTGAATCCTCTTATTGAGTTAAGTTCGTAGACTTTCAATTCGACCTAGTTTGTCCTTGCGATCTGACTTGCAAGATGAGATTCGATCTGGGTTTGGTCCTTCGACTCCAGTTTGTCACTGAATCAGGTATATCAACTCTTCGTGAACCCACTCCCTTGGATTCCCTGTACGGTTGTACCACTTCGATTCTACATCTTGGGTTTGAAGCTATGAGTCGACTTCAACAATCACTTGCAAGTTGCGATTCAATCCTCCGCAACGAGTTGATGTGAGTAGTGAACTCGTCTTCTTTTGAAGTTGCGACTGCAGATTACCAAAAAAATCAACTTAGATTTGATCTCATAGTTCAGAAGCGATTCAAAATCTAACCTAGTTCTGTTTTTCAAGTTGATTGACATGCTCAATTCAATTCTGGTATGTTTGACTCAGTTTTCTTCTCAATTCGAATTGTCCTGAATCAATTCGCGATGTGGCTATCTTATCCTTGATTCTTGTTCTTGGATTGGATCTTGATTGTTTGCTACTACATACTGCTGTGAATGGATATTGAACTGAGTTGTCCTCAATTGGGAGATTGGATCTGAAACTGTGATCTCTGTGATTGGCATATCTAGACTGTTTGTGGGTCATATTGGGTTGTTTGGTTATGGCTAATCGGGATCAAGGTCATCGAGATGGCCGTGGTGGAGCTTATGCTCTGACTTTGAGTGAAGAAACCAAGATTAAGTTCTCAATTGGAAAGGACACTGATGCTAATCCAAATCAAAATTCATAAAAAAAAAAGATGAGTTGAAGCAAATGAGTGGACGACTTGTCACATCGCAAGTTGCCATTGAACTTTTTGATAGCTTCAAAGAAATTATTTGAAGTTCAGTAGGACTCTTTCATACCACTTTACAAAGTTGTTTTGAGTTGAGTAGGTTGCTTGTGTGCTCAATTCACATTTGTGCCAAGGGAGGAATGAAAGAACCGAATTCCAGCTCGTGATCAACTACTCTCATGGTTTTGCTTGGTGGATACATCGTCCATCCTATCATTATGTCAATCTTCTCAGCTTTGCTTTGGAAGATGTCATTTGCCAACCATTGGGCTCATTCCGACAGAATGAGTACTCTTCTACAGTATGCAAGTTAGAGGTGAAGGGGTTTGGAAATGGGGGTCTATCCGAGTTTTTTAGCGAGAGGATATAGACACACTGGTAAGTCGTTTTGCACACCAAAAAATAAATCCTTACTAAGACCTTAATTCAATAGAATAGTGGTTTAGTTCGAGTATTGATCCATAGGGACTAAAAGGCTAAGTTGTTTAAATTTCAGATTAATTCTTAAATCAATTCAAAAGTAGAAAAGAAGAATTTTGTATGAGCTTAATTAAATTAAACAAATAAATATAATTAAACTAGTATTAATCAAATAGAAGAGACTCAAGGTTGTGAATCCATCATAACCTTGTAATCAATGAACTGTAACAGTTTACAGATTTATTATTCAACTCAACTATGATCCATTAGTGACTACAAGTCCCAACAGTATCGTCTAGAGGATAATTGGCAGTTTAATGATTAGCATACACTATCTAGTACTAGCACGAATTGTCTCTCCTAGCATAGACTATCTTAACCGAATAAAAGCAAATCAATGAAAACCGTTGTATAAGTATGCAATTAGAATCATAGAAACTAAGAACATGTGCCAGATAGAATGATTCAAAACAAAGTAATAATATAGAAAAGCCTTAATCTTATACAATTGTTGAATCAATAATAAAAACCCCAAACTAAATACAGAACATTGTTACTTGACTAGAGTTTCATCCAAACCTTAAGAGCAGAGCTCCTTAGCCGCACATGTGTTCGTAGCCTCTGCCTTCTCTCTCTAAAATCAAGAACAACCCTAATAATGAAGAGGGTTTTATATTTATAGACGTTAGGAGCCTTCTAAGTAATACCCAAAAGGTTAGAATTTCCAAAAATGAAAGGAAAATTTGGATGTAATTATTCCCAGCTTTTTAGGCATATCTTGTTGGCCTTTTTAGGCATATCGGACGAAAGAGATACATCCAAAATACTGATTATTGTTGGCTTTTTATTGCTTGATTAAAATTATTTAGATTCTTCTAGTCCTTCAGAGCTGAGTTGGAGCTTGGTCTCAGATTTCAAATATGAAATTAAGTCCAATTTTTACTCATAAACTTGAGTGACCTGCACATATACAAACATATTAAAATCATCATGTAACAATGATTAAAGGACCTAACAAGTATACTTTAAGGGGCCTAAATGTATACATTTTGGCAACTATCATACACCTATGGTTGTTGAGCCAAGGATGCAAGGATGAAGTTCAATGTATTTGCAGACAGCTAAGTTGAGAGAATCATGTTTGTTCTTGAGCAAGGAAATGCAGCACCTATACCTTACACATCGTTACATTAGTAGTATTACGTTGAGTTTTCTTAGTTGGTACTTGAGGACAAGTTTCTTAAACATGGAGAGTATGCTGTAGTATAATAAATAGACTAAAGTAGCTTATTAGTTGTAGTATATAAATCGGTGATACCCATTGTACTTAGGGCTCATTTGGCAAGTTAACATTTTAGCCAAAAAATCAAAAAGTTACTAAAAAAGCTAAAAAGTCTATAACCTATACCAAAAAGTCAAAGATTCCATTTTCTCTCTACTTTTTGCACATCTTTTCGTAAAAAGCCAAAAAGTCACCCCAAACATACTAGTTTTTTTAACTCATATTTTAGCTAAAAAGCCAAAAAGTTACTAAAATAGTATGTTTCCAAACGAGGCCTTAGTTTTGGAATAAAGAAAATACATTGTGATTGGAGTAGAGCTTAGTTTCTCTCTCTAGCCCTTAGGGGTTTTATCCCTAATTGGGGCATTTGTCTTCTCTCTCTCAATTTGACAAATGCCCGAATTACGGGTAAAACCCTTAATGGATAACCAGTTCGGAAAATCCTTCTTTTTGTCTTTGTTCGCTGCTGTTTGGAAATCCAGCTCTGAACAAAAGCATGATGTTCAGTACTATATAGCCGAACAAAAGGCATATGTTTAGTTGTGGAGCATTGAACATATTCAACAAGTTTAGCTTTGTGTAACCGAACAAAGAGAAATCCACCTACCTGTGAGGTAGAAAGAGAAATCGATGGGGAGAGGGGGAGTTGCGCACAAAAGAGAGAAGAGAGTAGGTTCGTGAAAGAAAGTTCGCGAATCAGTTGCTCCTTCTCTGTGGCCACCGCCAAAATCCTAACTTTCGCCGCCATTGATAGTTCTGTAAACAACAGGTAGTGGTGAGAGGTTCGTTGAAGGAGGAAAATAACGGAGATGGGTTGGTTGCCGGAGGCTGCCGGCGGGAGTGGAAGTGGTGGTAGGATTAGGGTTAGGGTTAGGGTTAGGGTTAGACTTGGGACGATAGGATGAGGACAAAATTATAATAAAATAAAATATAAAAAATGGAGGGTCCAAAGTAAAAAGGTAGTGGCATTTAGCAGCCTTCATAGATTATATATATTCTAAACCCAACCCCACTTTTGAAGCATGACAAATTTCTATTGTGCAACCCTTTCACTAAAACTCAACAAAATGATTTGATAAATATCAACTCATCTAAAAGCTTAAACTGTTGGAGAAAGTGGTGACTTAACTATTTATAAATTATATCCTCAACAAGCCAGCCCCTCACATGTGGCCAAACTCTCCTCCAAAAGCAGGCCAAAGAGATGCAAGTATTATAATTATTGGGTAGGTGTTGAGGTTCAAAGACATAATCTATTACCTGCTCTATACTATGATAAAGTTTTATGTTGTCGTAGCAACTTTTTTGGCTGCCATTATAAAGAAGAACACAGTTTCCCTGAGATTAGAAAAAAAAAAGAAATGCAAGTA